ATAAGTGGTATAAATAACATTAATTCTGCAAGTTTTAACATCGCCAAACCAGTGACGAATCATTAAAAAATATGAATTAAGTTTGAAAAGAAAAGGTTTCCAAGAAACGGACAATATCTATTACTCCATATCGACATTTCACATTGACATTCTTTTTGTGAATGTTTAATTCGAATTGGGCTTTATGATCACCGAATACACCATGCTAGAAGAAAATTTTTTAATAAAGAAGATAAACAGTTTATTTTGAAGTTTATAAAGGACGAATAATTTACCTTCACGTGAGAACCTTTAACAGTCACAGCATTAGAAAAACACTTAAATCTGGTCCGAACTGGTTCTATATTTTTTTTTTTAGAAAATCTTCAGAAAAATCATTTATGTAAGATATAAAAAAATAAAAAAAATCTTACCATCCTCTCTTTCATTTATTCCATCCCATCCAACTTCTACAATCACTTTATTGTCTCCGACTCTTTTGAGTATGAGCGGACGAGAATAAATTAGTTTATAGGGCACTACTTCCTCACTGGAAAATGTGTTAACGAAGAAAAAGGTTAAGAGAACGAAAGACAAGATAAGTAGACGATTCATGGTGTATTAGGTTTTATGAGTTTTATTAAAATTTTCTTATCACGACATGTAGCAGTTTTATGTTTATATAAAGAAAATTTACATTTTTTCATTTAATATTTGCAACATCCGAGAATGATTTAAATGAATGATAAAATGCCCCGAAATCGGCAAATACGAATAAATTTGCTTTCATATCAGGGCTGGCTGCGTAAAAGGGTTAGAGTTTTAATTTGATAATAATTGTCTTGACTAAGCTTGACTTAGGTTACGCGGCCAGCCCTGTTTCATATGTTGTCCGTGAAAATCAGGCTAGCCGCGTAACCTAAATGAGCATGACTAAAGACGATTATTACCAAATTAGGATTTTAACCCTCTTTACACGGCCCGAAATCAAATTTGAAATTTGAAATTTTGGGGTGAAGCGTTTGGATACAAAATTCTGATTAGCTGATTTGAATTTCGCGCAGATTTCAAATTCATGCACAATACATATAATTGATTATATTATACACATCTAATGGCTAGCCGAAGTTTTGGAGCCGATCCTATTCAGCTCTATTGTTAACCTATTTTGATATTACAGACGTGATTTTTTCTGAATGATCGAAATTACCATTTGGGGCTTCGTCAATCAGAATGTAGTACGATCGATGACATTCTAAGATTTTATTGCAGTAATATTCAAAATCAAGATATCTTGTATGGCGAATCCGATTAAATTAAATCCTTTTGAATATATAGGACGCTGATCACTTTAAATTACATGCCTGATTAATCAATCAATTAATTAATATTAACAATAATTTTTTAATTTAATTTAACAATGAGATATAGCGGCATTTAAATTGGTGCAACGGAAATGTATACTTTAAGCGATTATTGTCATATTTTTTGAGTGAATAAAATCCTACAAAAAAGGATTTCACGAAAATAAAAGCGTTGTATATATATATTCTGACGATTAATGATTAATAATAATGATTATTAATTATAAATGACAAATGAAAATTGAAAATTGAAAAATGAAAAATGAGCCGAACATTGAAATTCAAATCAAATTCAAGTTCAATGAGATTTTGTTTTTATAATTTTTTGGGAAGTATGAAATTAATATTATATAAAGTGTATTCCATTGAAAATGTTAGTTGTGAATCATCAAAATGATCAACATCTTTTGGTAGGACGGAAAAACTCTCTTGAATGTCACCGCCACCAGCACTATGATTCAAAAGTGCTTTAAAAAAAGGAAAGGTGACCGCGACATTATAATCGGGCCAATCACTACCTTTAAAATGATTGACATTTGTGTTATATGAGCTTTATATTTTAAAAAAAATCATGTTGGTACAATGCTCTCTTTTTTTATTGTTAAAATAACAAATAAATAGATAGTAATTCATTGTTATTTTATTATTGTTGTTTATTATAATAAATTGATGTTAATTCTTTATTAATATATCATTTATTTTTTTTAAAATTATTGATAACTGTATTACATATTTTTTTATTTGCAAACGATATAGAATTCAATTATACTCCCAGTGAAACTTTATCAAATAGTAGAGTAAACTAGGGCCCCGAAATATATATGTAGAGGTAAGGTGCGTAATGCTTGGCCATCATCATAGGAGCATCTGATGAGGTCAGACTTTGATTTGCATATAGAATTTGAGCTTTTTTTGGCTAGAATCGGGTTGCTTGTATTTAGAGATGTGAATGTTATATAACGTTATATAATTGTTATATAACATTTATGGTTTTTTATAACAATGATCAACATAGCACATATTAATAAAAGATGTGCACTTATTTTTATAACAAAACAAAAGGAAACTTTTACGTTTTACACATATTATAAGAATGGTTGTGGTGAAACTGCAGGAAAAGACCTTTTTTTGTAATTTATTGCAAATTGCGTCCAAATCTGGACGCAATTTCGTTTAAGGGATAATCACTCCAAATTGTTTCTATATAATAAATAACTTTTACAAATATAATATTTTGATTTGTTTAAAAAAAGCCCGGACTTTTTTCTAAGGACTTAAGACAATCCAGTCTCAAGACAGGACTAACAGTCCCAGGACTAGTCCACTTATCTGAGTGACTCTTAATTTGAATTGTTTGATCTAAATGATTCGTTTGATCCATTGATTCTTCTTAATTATTCAATTATTGCTTTTATTTGGATTGTTTGAAATCTTCATTTTATTCAGTTTGCCTGAATTATATAACAAACCTAATGTTAACTTTATATAATAATAATAAATAATTCACAAAACTGATAAGAAAGACTGAAACAAGATTCATAACTTGACACTGGTGTCCATTATTAGTGGTGATAAAATATTTTCTGGAATTATTTAAAATTATATTGTAGCCATCATATTCATCTAATGCTAAACCATCAACTTCTGAGTAATTATGCTTCTCTTAAATCAATAGAAGCCATGTAAAATATTAATATACATATTATTTATTGTTATTAAATTGTTCTGTTCTTCAGACTCAATAGAATGTAGGGATCATTATCAATTCCAACTATTTGTAAAATTATGACTAAGATACTACCCCTTTTATATACTAACTATTATTAATTTTCAACAAAAAAAAATTAGTTTCTCAATTTTGATGATGATGTTATTTTGTAGCTTGATAATACAAAGGATTCAAATAATCATTCAATATTCAAAATTAAAGGAAATCATATGATTTATGCGCACCTCTAGAATCAAATGTGATTGACACAAATTTGTTGCTATGTCTGGTTAAAAAAAAAAAATTTTTAAAAGATGGATAATTTAACAATATTAACTTCGGGAAATCAAATATATGCTAAAAAAAGAGAAAGAAAAAAACAACAAGTTGAAAAAATAGTTTTTGACGAAAATGCTAGACGGTTAGTTATATTTTGTAAATTAAAACAGCACATTTATTTTATTATTTATTTTAATAAATTTTATGAAAATTAAGTGAATATTTAACGGGTTTTCATAAAAGAAAGTTGGAAAGAAAGGCAAAGGCAAAAGAAACAGCTATAAGACTCGCAAAAAAAGAAAGATCTGAACTTAGGAAAACTGTATGTTTGTATATATATATATATAGACATATAAATATATTGTGTATCTCTATATGTTTTTAAAAATAAAAAAAACTCATCAATGAATTTTATTGAATAATTAGACAAAAGAAGCAAAAATAAAAAAAATCGCAGAGTTTTATAAAACAACTGAAAGTGTGTAAGGAAGGAATTGAGTTTATATATACATATGGATTTTTAACAAAACAAATTTGTAAAGATAATTTATTTATACTTAATAGATTCAATTATATCATCATCATCAAATGTTGATGAAAACTTACAAGACAAGGTTGATGAATATGTGGAAGAAGAGAAAAATGTGAAACAAGAAATAGAAATGAAAAAATCCGAATTTAGAACACCTGAAACATTGACAACGGTTACAATAATCAATGATTTAGACATTTGTAATTTTTCTTCAATATCAGAGAGTGAATATTCTAAAAATATTGAAAAGATTATAGAAGTTGATAATAATAAATTATCAAGTAAGAAGAAAAAGTCAATGAATAATGAAAAAATCAAAAAAAGGGTTCATCCTATTAAAATTAAAAGATTTACAAAATCATCTCATTCCAAAAAATCAAATAGAAAAAGAATAAAGAAAAAAAATGGTAATTAATTGGCGATATTGTTGTTATTGTTATTGTTGTTGCTATTTTATGTTTAATAAATTTTTTTGTTTTATTATTATTTTAGATTGATTTAGGAAAATATTAGTAAGTATAAACATGTTGAAAATTAATCAATTACTATTTTATGATGGAAGTTTTGTGCATATGAAGATCTACCAAGAATAATGTTATGATAATCTAAATAAAAAAACCAAAATTTTTTCAAATGAATCCAGAGAATTGGATAACACTAACATGTCTAAAGGAAAGTAAAAAAAAAAGCACTACATATGCAAACTAAAGGTTAACTAATGTATATAAACTATTGTATATAAATTATTATATGGGCATGCTGCAACAAAACCAGACAAAGTGAACATTGGTATTACCAAAGGTTTCAGGGATCAAAATTTAGTAATGTGGTATTAAAATCCCCCCATTTGTTATATTTGTTTTTTCTTAATATTAAGTGATATATAGAATTACCTCTATATAAAAATAGTTAATATGAAACTCGTTTGCATCAGATCTACCATGGAGCCCAAGAATTATAGTACTATATATCAGAAATATTTTAAAAAAGGAACTAGAGTATGCAAATATGCTGGTTGCCAGGATTTTTTTTTCTAATTTTATTTTTTTTTTTTAGTTAAAAAATTTGGCAAGATTTTAAAATTTAATAAATAATAAATAATTGTTTTAATATACTAATATTGCATTATTAATATTGTCTATAATGGTAAAGGAATTGATATTTTTTCTTTTAGGCAATTATATTCTTGGATCATTGATTGATCTGTTATAATTGCATTTTTATCAAATGAAATAATTTGAAGGTTTTCCCAAGAAGTACATCTGCTTAGTGCAACATATGCCTGACCTGGGAAAAATATTTCACAATCTAGTGTAATTGAAACTGATGAAAGGCTTATACTTTGTGTTTTGTGTGTTGTGAGGGCAAAAGCATTTTGTAAGGGAAATTGTGTCTGGAAGCAAATGAACCATTTAGATAAATTTTTGAAGTATATTTTGATATTTCTAAATCTATAATTCCACCATTTATACAAAAAACAATTCTGACTAAATCTTGAGTATGATCTATATCTGCAATTACACCAACAGTTCCATTACAAATTCCTTTTTCAACCATATTATTATTAAGGTACATTACACATTGGGGTGTTAGATATAAGTATATATAATCGCAAACATAGGGGAAACCAAATAATAAAACCTAATAGTAGAGATTTTTTGTCGATCATTTTCATAAACTCAAATTACTATTAATTAATTAAAGAAACGTAAACTGTTATAACTCACCATACAGATGAGATTTTTTAATTCTGAAAAATGTTTTGAGCTTGCAGAGTATGCATTTACAATGTAACAGAGCCATATTTATCAATATTAATGTACTTTCATATTGAAAAAGCAATTTTTGTCATAAATTCTAGATGTCTACTAATGCAAAATTTAAAAAATCATAATAAACAA